AATTAAGATATCTAACAAAGTATTCTTGTTCCGTTACATCAATTGTTCTTCCGGCGAGCTTTCGGCAATCTTCCGACGAACTTTCGACTATCTCTCGGCAATGTTCCGGTGGACTCTCGGCGAGCTCCTGGACTTTATGATGATCTTCTTGGCGAGTTCCGACGAGCTTCTTTGGCAAGCTCCTGGACTTCTCGGTTAGTTCCGGCAAAACTTTCAACGAATGTTCGAACTTCCAACAAACTCTCGAACTCCCAACGAAGTCTCGATCTTGACTCCGGCACATTATTTACTTTATATCTTACCGCTATCGTAGTTAATCCTGTACACTTTTTTGAACATATAGATTAAATCAAACAATTTACAATTGATTTCATCGTAGATTCAATAAATTTATCTATCGATTTTTAAAATAGAATAAATTTATCTATCGATTTTTAAAATAGATTAAAAATTCTATTATACTAATTCACCCCCTCGCTCCCATGGTACCATTAACATCTTAACATATTCAAGTTCTATTTTGTAAAGTATCTAATTGTTAAATTTGTTTAATCTTTTAAGTGATGTCACTAGGCCCACCATGAATTGCACTTATTCAATTCTAATTTAGTTTAATCATGAATAGCTAATGGATTTCAAAAATAAGGAAATGCAGATTGAATTTTCTCCAATTTAGTAGACTTAGATTTAAATAGGATTGTTATTCTCAATGGTATTGCTATTTTAAGCTACACCATCCTATAATATGAGGATGAGCTTTAGCAGCAACCAAAGATTTCTCCTTTGCCACCTAATCAGATCAGCGTGGTTTGAGTAAATAAAATAATTATTTTATTTACAAAGATAAGATTATATACATTCATCCATCTCAGTTCTTGTTCTTATATAAACGGCAATCTTGTGCACTATATTATCCCTTGATTTTATATTATCCAATAATATCCTTCCTCGATTAAACCTTCACTCACTTCCTCTTGCTATTCGAATAAATAATATTCTTAGCTGCTCATTACTTTGACCCTGACACAGGTTTACCTATCAATTGTAGGTAATTAGAAGATTGGATACCTTAAACAACTGATATAAATTCATCATATGTCGTGAATGGGGAACAACGAACTCTGTTTCATTCTTTTAAGTAGAATTTTCTTTTGTTGTTGCCTTCCTTGTTGTTTTCCATCCTTTCTAAAGTTCCACAGAGGTGATAGAATTTAACATCCACCAAGAAAAAGAGGAAGTGCTTTGTTAACTATCTCCGACTTCTTTGATTAAATGTCGAGATTCATTGCTTTCTTTGCCGCAAATGAAAGTGACGAGGAAGATGATGACGACGACATTCTAACAACAAACAGAAGCCTTGCACATACTACTGACAAACAATCGTGGCTCTTCCTTTAGATATTATGTGTCTTGTTTTCTGTGGTTTCACGTTCCCATCGAAGCGCATTAATTGAATTTATTTCACCATTGAAGCACTTACCATTACGTACACTGAACCATCCGGACAACGAATACTATTATTATATGTGACCGATCGATCATCTGTAACTTTTTTTTTTATTTTTAATTTTTCTTCTTTCATTCAACTATTACGTAATATATATGTACTAACTCAAACTGTGCACAGTGTAGCTTAATAATCAATCACTAAGGTATCTTTTGTCGAATGCTGAAGCTCCAGACTGAATTATCCTCTTTTTTTTTTTTTTTTGAACTTTGAGATATACTGCCTGAAACGATTGTTTGTCTTAAATGTTTTTATTTATGTTGCAATAAATATTATGAGAACAGCAAGGAAGGACAGGCCGATGGCCATAGAAAGTCCATTGAAGATGGCACCATTGCTCGAGTTTCCAAAACCATCGTGTAGGTGTTCCCAAGTTGGAGCGGAAGCATAACACTTGTGTTCTGAACATCCAACTAATTCACGTTGGTTTTTACTACGGTTTGCATGCTTTTATCTTGTCGTCATAGATTTATGGAGGGAGAGATTTGAGAGATAAACAAGTGCTGCATTAAGACCTGGCCCTACCTATTTATAAGGAATACTTGTCCTTGTCCCTCTCTTTGTGTAGGGATCCGGTGACACATGATTAAATGTTGTTTTCCTTCGTTTTTTTTGGACAGTTGATTAAATGTTATCGTCTGTCTTGTACGCAGCGGATGCTTGAAGTGACCGGCGGGATTGCAGCATCGGTTAGATTAGGATATCACGATCGGGTTTAAGAATGGACACGGATGGGAGAAAAAAAAAAAAATATATATATATATATACACAATTATTCAACATAGAACCAAAATTTGATTTGGTAGATAGGTTTGGAGCAAATTTAGAGTCATTTTTAAGTCGGATTAATATATTTGTCTGAGTCAGTCGTCGTGAAGCAACTCTCCATAAAGTTAGCAAAGAATCTCTTAAGGATAAAATGTACCACATGTTTTATATGGACCTCATAACGCAATTGGATGAGAATTTTTTAGTGAGATTAATATATATATTCTATTTTGAAAATTACTGCATAGGATATTTATAAATAATGATTCTTTTTTAATTTTTTAATTAATTATTTAAAAATATTAGTTACAAAATATAATATTTTATTATTTGATCTATCACTATAATGACATAAGTTCTAGCTAATATTTGACATTTATTGGGTTAATTTTTCGATTTTATAATTGTTTATTTAAAATATTTAATATTATTATTATATTATGCTTTACTTTATATTCAATAATTTGATTTCATTTTTTATTTTTATAATTTAATTTTTTGACAATATTTAAATTTATAATTTTAAGATTAGTTTTATATTTATGTTTATATTTATTTTTTTATTAATATAAGTATATATATCTTAATATTATTGGTTGTTAAGTATTTTTGATAGATATAAGTTTTGGGTTGGTTAAATCAAATTCAATTATATAGGTTGACTCAATTGAGTAAATTTGAAGAGACAAAAAAAAAAAGAATAACAAACTAATTGAGGACACTTTTGTCTGAGCAAGGTAAGGACACCATCTGGGAAAAGATTAAAAAAATATAAATAAATACATAATTCATCCTTATTATTTAATCGATTCTTTCGATCTGTTAAAACATATATTGAGTCATTCCTAACCTTTTAAGCTTTTGGAAATTTTAAATTTTATATTATTTAATTAAAAATATTTGTGTTCATATTTCCATTTGGGCTTTCATCCATCCTTAAATTATGATTATCCAATTATACTGTTAAAAAAATATTAAATTAATTTTTTGAATCATTAAATATATTAAATCAAAAATCCATTAAATCAAGGGCGATTTTCTTTGGAAGGCACTCCTTTTCTATTTTCCCCAAAAGACACCCTTGTTTTATTTTTTACTAAATGGTGTCCACTAATTTAAATAAAACATATTCCTCACCAACAACAGTGGTCCTTTTTTCATTAGTTTCTTCTTTATTTTTTTTCATGGGTTTTTATTTGGCTCATTTATAATATTTTTTAATAGCATTATAATATTTTTATTTTTTTACTAAAGACACATAAAACTATAATATAGTGACATCATTTTTTTTTATTATCATTACTTGTAGATTATTACGATATTATAATCTTAGGCATTAGTTGGTCCGGTTAATGTTAGAAGTTCAACTGGATTATTTATAGTGTTTTCAAGTAGGATTTATAGTATTATTATTATGGTGGCCAAAAACACCATGATAAATCAATTTTTAATCCATATTTGGGAGATATTGTTTTTAAATATTATTGTCATTATTCATACATCATTACAATATCAATTTTTTAGGCTTGATATTGTTTTTGTTATGATGGTTAAAATATTATAACAGGGTAAAACATTATAATTGATAGGAATATACCCTTGAGACTAGCGAGGAGTATTTTAGATATTATTTAAAAACAGATACTATTTGAATATTTTGAAAACAAGAATTTCTTTTCAAAATAAAAAGAAGTTTTTTTTTATTAATTTTCATCGAAAATATTCATATTTTGGGTATTTTCCAAGGGAAACCACTTCTTTTATTGTTTTTCCCAAATAGTACCCATAACTTAAAAAATACCTAAAATACCTCTCAAAATTTTTTCATCAAAATTTTTAACCTATTTTTTTATTAATTTTAAATTACTATAGTGTTTTTATTTGGCTCGTTCACAATGTTTTTTTAATAGCGTTTATAGTATTTTATTGAAGTACTAAAAATACTACAAATGTTATTAAAAAAATATTAAAAGTGACATAATATTATACTCATTATTATTATTATTATTATTACTAGTAGACTATCACAATGCCATATTTTTAAGCTTGTAATTGATTGGTTGAGGTAAGGAGTCATTTAGATCTTCTATAGTATTTTTCGAGTAGGCTTTATGTCTTTTTTATTATTATGATAAAAATATTACAATAAGTTATTTTTTATTTCAATTTAGATGATATAGTTCCTAAACTATTATAAATACATATTTAAATTCTAATAAGATATATCAAATGATTTCTAGTGTGTTTTAATTTTATTTAATATATTTATAATATTTTCAAATAGATTTTATAGTGTTTTTATTATAATGGTAAAACATCATAACAGACCAAAAATACTATGACAGGCGAGAAAGTTTTTTAGTGATACTTTAGATATTTTTAAATTAGGGGTATTATTTAAAAATAAAATAAAAGATATCAATCGGCAAATACAATGGATATTAAAAAAAAAAGGGAAATCGTCCTTAAATCGGAACATTTTAAAATATAGTTGACGTGGAAAAACCACCTTTGTACGGGTACTCAAATCCGCATTCACGAGGATCTTAAAGCATCGCCATGCAAAGCGTCTACGATGCATCACCGTCTAACGTATTTGATACCGTAAAACGTTGCTCTCAAGGAGTGCCATCACTGCCGGTGAGGTAGTTCGCGGTCGTACCGGATCGGGTGGCCTCAATGGGACCGTCCTCAAGGAGGCTCCTTGCTTTTATGTGAAATCCCAATCTTCACATCTCAGCCGGTGCGCAGCAATAAACCGTCAATTATTGCAGGGGACCGAACCTTGCGTTCCCAACAACGGCGCTCACGGTATCTCTAACGATGTGGCTACGGAGCAAGATAGAAGCAACCGCACATTACTGACCTCGTTCGAGCGCACGACGGCCTCATCCTTGTCTCCTGTTGCTCGCCAGGATTTATTCCTCGCGTTCTAAATCCCAAACCCCACCGGTCGGCAAAATGGCTCTCTTGGGCTTCGTCGTTGTTCTCACCGTTCTCATCCTCACCTCCGCCCTCCTGGCTTCGTCTTCTACTCCCTTCATCGTCTTGCACGGTAAAAGTCCTCGATCCCCCTTCGTTTTCTGCTTTTGAGTCTCGACTTCTTTGCCTCGTACACGAAGATCTCCCAACTCCAAGTTTGGTGTTTGATGTTGGATTCAAGGAATCGGCGACCAGTGCGAGAACCAAGGGGTAACGGAGTTCACTGAGTTCTTGAGCAGTTGGTCTGGATCCGAAGGACATTGCATGTGCGTTTCTTATGCTTGCTATTCTTATTCTTTAGTAATAGTTTCCATCTTTTTGGACTTAGTGCGCACTGTACACCTTTTTAATCGGGAAAAAGTTTTGAGTTTGTTTTTTGTGATTGATGCTCGTACGAGGCCCTTCACACGATTAGATCCAGCAACGATCTGCCATCCTGTTCTGTGCCTAATTTGAGACCTTTCATGCTTCTCATTTGGTGCCACTACCATGCTTTGGATCTGTTTTCGAAAAATTGTTGTACATATTGGTTTACAAGCATAAAGCAAGTCTTTTGTTTCTTCCTTCTCTTTCTGGTGGGTTTGTAGAGCAGTGTTAGTCTTAGCGTTCGTCACCTTGCCTATTGTTTGCCTCTTAAGATTTCTGTTTCCTGGACATGCTTTTGTCTTTTTGTTTGCCATGGTATGAAGGATGATATAAAGATTTAATTTCGTTCTCCAGAAACCATGTCTGCTTTAATGAGCCGTCATAAAGCATTCACGTCATTGTGATTTCCTAAGCATTTGGCGACTAATTGTTTGCCTAATCTGAAGCCAGTCTCTGACCTCCAACTCTTAGATCTTTTTTTATTTTTTTCAAACGTTCCAATAAAAAAAAGAATGGCTTTGTTGACAACCTATTACGGGCTCTTACGAGGGTCATATGCATGGAGACTTACCCCCTTTGAAAAGGTTGTTCACATGACTCAAATCCTGCCTAGATATCACCAACGAGGAAGTTAATGTAGTTGAACAAGGCTTGGTTATTTTGTCTTGAGTGTCATTTTATTCTGATTGAAGCAAGGTGAATAAATTAACTTCCCTGTTGGTCAGATGATATTCATCTAAATCCATTTCATAACTAGTTGCAGCCAGATATGTTTCCTAAATATGCACTTGTTACATATAGATTTTTTATATTGTTATGTTGCTTCGAGAAATCTTCCAAATGGATATAAATATGGGTTGATTTCTTTTATTATCTGTATATATAAATATTTTAAAATATAAAAATATCAGCCTAAGATATCATTGTTATATTTTTCATATGTTTTCTTTTCTTGTTATTCTTTTTTTTTCTTTTTTCACATTTGTTGTCAATCTTCCTATGATAGTAATATTCTTGATAATTCTGATAATGCTTTAGTTATTTAGTGACAACATATCTATTATCTAATTCACACAATATTTACATGGACGTCTGCCTTAAGTTTGATTAGTATTCATATCGGCAATAGATCTGTTTTATAATCATGGTGTATTTGTTCCAAACAAAATGATTAGAATCTGTCAATTACAAGTGTAAGTGGATTTTTTTTAATTGTTTAATCTGTGTCCAATCTGCTTTTACCTGTTTGTTATTGAAGACCATGTTCCTTGATGCTTAATTGTGACAATGCTTTTGTGAAAATGTCTTGTGTGACATAATTGACTACTGTTGTCAGAGAAATTGGAGATGGAATGTGGGACTCGTGGGTTATGCCCCTCGTAGAACAGGTCTTTTCATTTTTCAGATTACGACTTGAGTCGAATTCTTTTGGTACATTGTTCTAATTATTATGTCTGTTGTGGTTACAGGCTAATGTCGTCTGTGAGAAGGTGGTACAATGGCTTCATTACTAATAATTCTTTTCTGATAGAAGTAAAATCTTGGGACATTGACTTGAGGCATTACTCTCACTTAACAACAGGTAACGGAAATGAAGGAATTCAGCATGGGCTACAATATTGTTGGTCTTTCCCAGGTAATAATAATATTCACTTGTTGCGTAATTTTAGTTCTATGCATAAACTCTTGAGTACGTATAATATGCAAATGCTAGGTAAAAGCTGCAATCTTTTCTTTGATAGATCTTTATTTCTGTGCTGAGGCATCAGTCATAACAGTTGTATCTGAATAGACTGTTCGTAGATCAGGATAAATGCTTAAAAGCAAGTCAAACTATTAGATAATGTTGTTGCAATTTGTGATACAAGGCACATTCATGCCTGAATGATTGTGCATCCTTTCTCATTTAGATATATAAAGAAATAATACAAGAACCTCGTCCACATTTGTCTGAATACCACAATAAAAAGTTTTGCTACTAAAAGATTATAATAGGCTATTTTGCTCATCCTTTCAAGTTTTCTGTGTTGGTCAACTCTATTATGTCTATTTGATTAATATCATAATCAACCATGGTTAATCCCGTTTTGCACCATTTCTAAATTTTATTGACAAAATCAGATGGAATTGGTCAAAAGTCAACCAAAGTTAGCAGGAGATGGTCGATCTTGGTCCATTCTACCCAAAAAAAACGAAGAGGGGGGAGTAGTAAAAGAAATGGGAGAGAAGAGAAGAAGGAGAAAGAGAAAACCAATTTTTTCCTAAGACTGTTGTCCCTTAGAAAACCAACCCAGACCACCCGAAATAGATTGCTCGTATCCCGATTCAAGTTCGGACTGATAAGCACTGAATGTTGTTTGACCCTTTTGATATACTAAGTGTCATGTATGGTGCGACTTAAAACTCTGCTATGTTGGTGAATAAGGATCAACATTTAGTCTGACTATCAATCAAGATGCATTTAATCCAAAATGAGGCTTGACAACTTCTTGATGCTTTCTTATTCTTCTTCTTCTTCTTCTCTCGTGTCATCTCTCTCTCTCTCTCTCCTTCACATCGATGCCATCGTCTCTTCCTCCTTCCTGTCACATTGTTCACTCTGCTGCATCGCCACCGCCTCCTCATTTGAATCACTGCCTCCACCTGTTGGAATATCTCGTTGTGCTCCTCCTGCTCCTCCCCTTTTCTCTGGTCTAGATGATACTGATCAGTTCAAAATATTATCGAGTGCCAGTATGCCATTCTGTATGTGTACATCGTGTCTCTCTGGTTGCGGCAATATCAATCTTAGTGCTTCCATGTTGCACCTGGTAATAGGCGGTTTTTTCTTTGCAAATTACAACCTTAGCAATTAGCAATCAGTAACTTGGCTGTCCTTAGGGAACGTCAGGAATGTTGTCAATGGTGGGTCTGTAAGTTCGTTATACACTGTTGTATAATAGAGTTCAAAGAACACTTTAACTTAAATTTCGTAGCCACTAGCAGCACCAACAATGATGATGACAACAAAGCCCACACACCTGATCATTTGGATATGCCTACCCTTTTTTTTTTGTTCTGCACTACCTACATTGAACTTGTTATGTTTGGTTATTGTAGTTGTAGTGGAGTCAGATACTGCATGCTAAATATTCCCTTTCTCATGTCATCATTCGAATTAATCAACAGGATTTTTCTGGACTGTTGTTTGCAGGGAAACTTAATTGGCCGAGCAGTTATTGAATTCTGCGATAATGGACCTCCTGTAAGACATAAAATTCATATAATGTTTTAAAGAAACACATTATTGTTGCTTTTTTTCTTTTGTCCTCAGGATTTGTCAAAAGGCACTGATATAAGCTTAAATGATTGTACAAGCTACTCACTACTTGGAAATACAGACATTAGGTGTTTTCTTTTCACTCAATGCAGTGATTATCATCATTGTGATAACTTAACTACTTTTTTCTTTTCCAAAAAGTGGAAAAATAATTATTACTTAATCCCAGGCAGTACACTGTTCCCCAAAAAATCAGAGCATAGCAAAGTATGCTCTGATTTGTTGGTTCTGGCAAATTTAGCCAGTCAGCTGGCAGACCTATTACTTTCCTTTGAAACATGAATAATAGAGAAGGCTTAAAAAAAGTATAATAACTGAGAAATATTTATGGTATAGTAGTTCTGTTAATCAAAATGTCTGTCAATATCTTGGAGTTAGAATCAACAATAATCAGCTGAACTCGCATGCGCATAGCAGCTTGAAGACCTTCCAAAATGGCAATGGCTTCACAGCATAGGATGGCTTTGTCTTGTGGATACCTGCAACTAACATAAGTACATTGTGCGTTAGATCCACTGATTACAAAACCAACAACCACATCCATTTCTTTGCCACTAGATCCATCACAGTTGACTACTTGTAGTTGAGTTTTCTTTATTTGCATTAATATCATCACTTATGATCAAATTGCTGTTCTGGTCAACATGCATGGTCCACAAATTGAATTTTCTCAATATGGCACATTAACAAAGTGATGCTAGATTACTCTGCTTATTCTGTTATCAGCATTATTAACTGTCAAACTAGTTGCAAATGCAATTGACCCTTAATTCGTCTATTCTAGTGAAAAATTAGTTTCTTTGGAGGAAATGAAGTGGATAGTAAAACCTAAAAACTTAACTTCGGTCAAAAGTTGACTTTTCTTCCAGATGTTTGCAGAAAATTAATGATATATTATAGCCATGAGTGTTAATTTTGAGATTGGTTATATATTGGTCCCAATAATTGGGATATGAGGAGCATTATTGTATTGTAAGTCAAATTTTTAGTTGTTTCAGCCACTAATCTGTAAGAAAATTTCCAAAAATTTTCCATAAAAGAGGAGAGTAACTTGAAATATGAAGCTAGGAAAAGGAAGTGCCTTCACAAATCCGGCAAGGTACTTTTTTCAATTTATTTTTCTAGGAAAGAATTTTCTTGTAGATTTAAACTAGAAGAATGCGATGCACTGTAAACTACATATGCTAGAACTGGACTTGCATTTAACAAATCAGCAACTTCATTTTTCAATCACATTAATTATGAGCGATGGATTTTGTACAGAAAGATAAATTGTTTCTTTTAGAAGAAAGTGACTTCCGGTACCAAAATTGCCCTCCACACTCATAAATCATATCTAGGCTATTATTTAATAATTTTTAAATTGACTTCATTAGTTGATTTATCATCCATTAGATTAATTAATTTATGAAGGTTTTCATAAATTTATATGTATTTGTTTTTCTAGCTATGTTTTAGAGATTCTGTATCAGTTACCAGTAATCAATGAACTTTTCCTTATGGAAGGATTTCTTATGATCGACATATAACAGGTAAAAAATTTTATCTCACTAGGTGGACCTCATGCTGGTACTGCTTCTGTACCGCTATGTGGTGTAAGTGTCCTGGAATCAATCTTTTCATGCTTATTCTGGCATATGTGGTCATGTCCATGATAGTTTAACCAATTAGTCAAATCAGCATAGATGTGTAAGTTAGAAACCTGCTATTACAGAATTAAACATGTGGAGAAATCAAAGCTATAACCTGAAAATTTTTGTCAAATTGATATTTCTTTCCATCATGCTTATATCTCTTTACTTAGCCAAACAATATTCTGATTCATTGATTTATATTTATAACGGTGTCATGTTCTCATTTTCTACTCCTGGAGACATTTCTTTATTGATAAACCAACAATTAGAGTTTTGAACTTATTGGGAACTTCATTTATCCTAATCACTCTTGAGTTGATACTACATGATTACTTCTGGTAGAAGGATTAGTTCATTTATAAAAAAGACCTAGCATTTAAGGTGAATCATAAACTGTGTTTCTCTCCCTCTTGATTTCATGGAGAGAATCAAACAAGACAGTAAGTGTAGTAGTTAAATTTCACATTTGCAATGACTAATATTTTATTTATTGAACACTATCTTGTCACAAATTCCATCAGCTTTAGGATGGTCAGACTCAGAAAATACAATCAGTTGTATCCTTCCAGAAGGGTTTGAAAAATTGGAATTTTAAAGTTAGATGGTGAAGAACAATTAAGTTCCCCACAGAAGTGAAAATTGTGATAGTAGTATGAAGTTGTGCATTAATTGTAAGGCTAATGTTGTTCTTGCAATGTTTATCTATTGCAGTCTGGGATTATCTGCATGCTTGTGGATGACCTCATCAAATCAAAGGTCTATTCTGACTATGTGCAGGTATTTTGCCACTTTGGTGTTTTGAAGCCACAGCTATCAATTTAGATGGTGACTTAAGTTTTCCTCCATATCAACATTTAAGTAAATGATCCTGAATGTCTTAGTACAAGTATATTTTGGTACCTCTTAACTTCTGATTAATCAATTGCAGGCCCATCTGGCTCCTAGTGGGTATCTCAAAATTCCAACTGTGAGTATTACTTTTTTTTTTTCACTGGACCTATAAGATTCTGTCACATTGATCATCTAGTAATCCACACTAAGCATGAAAAATATTTGTATCTGAGACTATCTCATTATGTACTTTTATTATTCTAGAGAAAAATTATACATATACCAAACTTGTTCTTGTTAGGAAAACAAAAATTATTGAGCCTTTCATGGCCTTAAAACTAATTAATTTTGTTTCTAATTTGCTGGTGGTGATTGTCCCTTTAGGAAATATAATAAATTAATGTTTTAAGATCACACACAAGATTCTAGGCTCGTATAACATTTCTTCATTTTCGTTTTAGTCTTGATGTCTGGACTCCCAAGTGACTACCATCTGTAGCACAAACATTAGATGTCAAAGCTAGACTCATACAGGAATGAAGTTGGTTCTCGGAAGTGCTGTTCCGCATTGTCACGGACTTAGCTGGTTTTGCCTAAGTCGTGCGGCACCCTTGCGTGTCCGTCCGCAAAGGTCAGCCTCCCCGAAGCCTCCCATGTCCCTTAGGACTCACAAAAGAGAGAACGAGTTAGAGAAAACACCTCATTCGGGATCCACAAGCAAACATTTCCGAAAACACTTCATAGACAATGCAAATTACAAACAGACTTTACAAGCTCTGAACAGATGCACAACAAAGGGTAAAATGGTCCACTACAGACCGAAAATATCTCACAAGTATCCACATGACACAACCTTTATTTATAAGCCTAAAACGGCCACCAAACCCAACTAAAATGGGACTATTAAGCCTTCGGTTGTCCCTCTACATGCTAGTCAAAGTATAAACATACCAAAAGACACGGACATACATAAGCATTACATCAAACATCCTGTTTCGAAGTTTGTCCGTGACATTCTCCCCCACTTATTCCTTCGACGTCCTCGTCGAAGCCTTTGCCGACACTGCAACTCTTCGCCTTTGCTGAGTCTTCAATCTTCTGCTCCAACTGCAATGCGCCTCCTGGCTCCCAACTGCTCTCCGTTGTTGTTTTTTTTTTTAAGTAGTCGAACCTTTGATCCGCCATGCTGCTTCAACTCACCAATGACTTTGACTCCGGTGTGGGGTTGACTGAGTTGTGTTGATCCATGTTGATTCCTGCGGATCCTCTAGATGAAGGAAAAGACCATCCTTACTATGCGCTAGTCTCTCAAATGCTCATGCTGCTTGAATTGGGTGGATGCTTGTTGGAGCTTTAACGAGCATCGTCTCGCAAACTTCTGAAGTTTTTGGGTCCTTCCTCCACAAAATTTGCCCATTGACTCTTCTTTCACTTAGTTGTCACTTCCAAGTAGGTTCGCATCACTTCCGCTTTCGATTGGCAGTTCGTTGGGAAATGAAGCAGACAATCTACTCTCAGTAGCACTGATCACCGTTGGTGAGGATTTGACAACTATTGTCTTCCATTATCTTCGAAGGGTCTTTGAACATGTGCAGAGCTCCTCTGCTGGATAGATAAGAGAATTAGGGTACTCGGTTTCGCCCATTCTCTTAAGTGTTGAGAAGGCAAATGTTACTTGACTTCGCCCGCCTCCTCGAGGTTGTACTCCATGCATCGAGCTGGTTACTGGCCTTCGCCTGCTCTTTGCTCACACTTCTGAAGCACTTGAAGTGTTTGCACTCCTTGCGTTGAGTTAGTTATTGTGATTCACCTTCTCAATGCCATCGAACTTCTGGAATGCAGGAAGTTTTCACCCCAACTTGGAGTGATTCTCTCATAGGTTTGGTCGCCTTTGGGATTGTACCATCTTCTCCATCAACCCTGCCGCCTACTCCATTGAGTAGTAAAGGTACAGCACCGCGTACTGCTTGCTTCGTTCCTTGGTCATACACTCTTGCTTGACCCGAAGTCCTTCACTTTCGGCTATCTTGATGAGAAGCTCGTTGACACCGGTCTTACGAAGTTCCTTGGCCTCTGCCTTTCAGCCTTATCTCGGTACTTGGAGTTTGCCTCTGCATGCTCCACCTCCTCAGCCCCTTTCACGACCAAGCGCTCTCCCTCCATGAGAGCAAGGGATCAATGACTTTCACGGAAGTCACGCCTCTGCGGTACCATGGTGTTGCCATGCCCATGGCACTACTATCCTTCGCCTCGCATCTGCATCCCTTTTATTCACAATCAGTAGATATGCCTATGTGGCACTCCTTCGAGTCCACCTCCATTCTAACTAATGCTTGATTTTGGGTAGCTAAGTCCCTCTGGGCTCGATCCGCTACACCATATCGCCTCCTAATGACATCTCTATTGCATTCTGATCCTTATGGGATGAACTCGAATTGTGATCCCTCCATGTGTGGCCTTTGCCAATACATCGCAGGGTCTCTTCCACCTTCGATTTTGTTCGCTCCTTTGGCAATCGACCTTCATCCACCCACTCTTGGGTCACACCTAGATGAAGCACCGCTCTAGGACAGTCCGTCGCCTAGTAGCTCCCAAAGTCTCCTGACTTTGCTGCAATTAGTGCACCATTGTCTGGATCCTGGGCCTCTGCTTCTACCAGCACAATCTTCGCTGCGCACCGCTTCCTTCATGGCAACTTGAATGGCAACACTATGCCATATTTTTCAAGAGTACCCACCTCTGCGTCCTCTTGCCTCGTGCTAAGGCCTTCTGAACCCAACTTCGCCTCCGCAAATTGAGTCGTCTTAGTTCCTCCACCAAATGCTTTTCCGAGATAAGGTGCATGTGCCCAGAAGCTCCCTTCGTCTTTCGGTACCATGCAAGATGAGTCTGCTCCGTCAGAATGAAGGACCCATAGAACAACATGATCCTGCTCTTGCCTCTACAAGAGTTCATGTCTTTGACCTCTGTCCAAGGAAAGCACTGTGCCTCCGCTCCATGTTCCCTCTTCTATGCTGGCTCCCATCATGCGGCTTGGGTATTTCGCCAAGTTACACCCAAGTTGCTCTGCTCCTCGTTTTTGCATTGAATTGATGGTGGCCCTCACGCCCACCATTCCACGGGTTAGCCCTCCCTTGAGTCCGATCTCCATATCGACTCCAAGTATGCCTTCATTTGTGTTCCTTTGGGTCGCTCCCCCACTTGATCTCTGATACCGGGAGGGTAAAATTGCAGAATGGATGTCGATAGAAAACCGATATAACAGTTGTTCAG